GATCTACTTTCTCTCTCTATAATAATATACAAGTTCTTACATCGGATTTAAACATACAAATGTGCACACTAGGAGCTCAAACAGCTACTGGCTTTGCTTATATTTAAAGTGGGGATGGGGTCCCTAGCCTCTGTTTGCCAAAAGCTGGGAATGGGCAACAAGGGATGGATCACCAGGGCAACAATGTTCTGTTCATTTCCTCTGGGGTTCTTGGCATTGGCCTCTACTGGGAAGCAGGCTACTGGGCTAGATGTACCCTTGTCTGACTCAATATGGCTTATTCTATCGCTGAAAGCAAACATTTCACAAATCCTGCAGTCTAGTTTTATTTCCAGGGGCAAAGTTGATCAGAGGCGATTGCTCTGATGGACTCACTGGCCTCCATTAGTCTTGTATCTTGTACGGGATTTATTATTTATCCACGGTGGCGTGTCACTTTTCAGACACCGGAGCCACGCTCTCTAGTTGGGAGCTGGAGCGGTGCAAGGTCACGGTGGCCCCAGCACCCACCACGTTTGAGCACCCAGCGACGGGATGCCACACGCCAGCTGGGGCATTTTTTACACAGCGCATTGCCCCCCGCTTGTCCGCTCGGAGTCCAGTCTCCAAAGCGCCAGCGCGCTTTGCACAGCGATGCCGCTCCGCGGCGGGCTGCAGGGAATGGGCGCCTCGTGGCGGCCACTCTAGCGCTGGAGCAGGGATCCGGGATCTAGCTGCCGCTGCTGCCGCCCGGAACCTCCGAGACCGTGCAGCGAGCGGCTGTGTGTGAAGCCGAGAGCGGCGAAGGAGGGACCGGTTCCGGCTTCCGCGCACTCACTCGCGCCGCGCAGCGCAGGGGAGAGGCCGCCGCAGGAGCGGAGCCAGCAGGTGAGAAGCAGCTGGGGGCTGGAGGCGCCGGGCTGCCAGCTGCTCCTGATGAACAGGGGCGGGCAGAACGCTGGGCTCTTCAGCGTTCTAGGTGTGTCCCAACGTTCGGCGGGAGGAGGGGGCAGCTCATGCTTCCCCCACGCCTGTCCTGGAAGGTACCTGCAACTGCTCCCGGGAGCTACGGGCCCCGGGCGTAGAATCGGGGCAAATCAGCAGCCACCGCCTCCCTTCTCATTGGTTTGTCCAGTGCCCGCGTTGCGACTCCTGAAAAAGAGAGGGACTGTGGTGGTTCATTGCACCGTTATGCCCCCCTGAGCTGGGGAGGCAGGTCATGAAACTGGAAGCGGGTGCTGGTCTGTAGTACTTGCTTTTAGTAGTTTAAACCAGGGGCTGGATTCCAAGGAATCAGCCTTGTGTGAGGACTTGGCTTCTGGGAATGCCACTAAGGCTGCATCTAGGTTTGCCAACCCTCTAGCAATTAAAGATTATTTTTTTAATTAAAGCGTTTGTTATGTGATGAAACCTCAGGAGTACATCCAACCAAGATTGGCAATCCTAGCTGAATCTAAAGATCCTGCTTTGAGCTGTTAAGGCCACTGAGGAGAGGTATTTCTGCTTGATCTAGGGCAGCTTGATCCCCAGCCTTTTCCAGATGGGGATCTATTTTGACAATTCAGGAAGACTTGGTGACCCAAGGAAATTCAAAAATGGGGGAGGAGGCAGAGCCACCTGGGGAGACACTTGGCGACCCTTTTGAAATGTAATGGTGACCCATATTTGGGTCCCAACCCATAGGTTGGGAAACCCTGATCTAGGGTTACCAACTTTCTAATCACATAACACCAAACACCCTTGCCCTGCACCACTCTCT